GAGAGAGAGAGAGAGAGAGGAAGATATCGTACGACAATAGTATCAATTGCCTACAGCCGTAAAAGCCGTCTACTTGGCAGAGGGGGAGTAGGGCCTTATACCCCGTCAAGCAGTGCGGTTGCACATCATATCCTGTCTCTCTCAAGAAGACAACAGCATCTTTCCTTGAGGCTCGAGAGGCTTTCCAGAGAGCAGCAGCTCATTACTTAGGTTGAGATGGTGGATGAGATGGTGGGGGCTCTCAGGGACCAAAAGTGTAGGGGTAAGCTTTGTCGTTAGAGAAGGGAAATGTTAAGGAGTCACGAGATAGGGGGCGTAGCGAAGCACGTACAATTTTTTCTCACGCATACATGAGAGCAAATCGCAGCAGCTCATGCCTGAGCTGTGGAAGAAGACAACAGCGTGCAGCTTCACTGCAATGGTTATTTATAGACATGCCTCTCACAGTTTCACTCCATTGTACAGTGGCAAAAGTGTAGGTCTAACAAAACTATACAGTACCATTTTCTCGTAGGTAGAAAGAATAATCATTAATACGCTGATTTCTGATGCTTCACTCCCTAAGAACACAAATGAGTTACAATCTGGAGGAGAGAGAGAGAGAGGGATAAGATTGACAAGCATGTAGCCGGCAACGAGAGACAAAAAAGAGGACGGAGAAGGAAAGATGTCAGATCATGTGAGATGGGAAGGAAAAGCATCGTCGCCTTCCCCTCGCGCTATCGCCGGCCGTCTTCCAACTGTCGGTGTTAGGGCAGTGGCTAGTCTTAGAAATCTATCACAGTTTCTCACTCCTCACCGCTTCGTTCCTTCCTCGTCTTGCTCCAAAGGATAAAAGGGTGGTGGGTGGACGCATAGCAGGGAAAGAAGCCAAGCTATGTGCTTCCCACTTTTTGCCCAGCCGAGGAAAGCATCAATGTGTTCATATCAGAGCTCGGACTACAGCTATCGAAGAATTTGATGAGGCTGATCAGCCTACCTTCGAGAGGTTTGTCTTCGATCTGGGGCTAATACAAAAGCCTTCCACTTAAAATAAGTATGCGTACGTACGGTAACAAACCAGAAAGGGACTGTTGTTGGCCAAATCCCCTTAAGAACAAAATAAAAAAAGAAGCAACAGTAGTATCTCGTTGCAGAACTGAAGCTCTTCGCTTTGCACTTTATAATAAACACTGGTAGATTGACACACGTACATATTTTCCATGCGCAGAAGAGCATGAGAAAACTCAGTTGCAAGGCTACTCTTCAGAAAACAATCTAAGACGGACAGTCCGGTAATTGACAACAAGAAGAGCAGCACAAAGACAAGGTACAGTCTTTGATGGCTCTTATCATACACAAGCTCCGTCTTAGACCATAGGCCTAGCAAACCCTCCCTACGTAAACATCCAAGAATGACCTTGTAAGAGGTGCCCTTGTGTCCTTATTACCTTCCCGGGGATGACTCCCTTCCTGTGAAGGACGCCGATCTTACATGGTACACCCACCACCATGGATCCTCTCCAGTCTCCCATCGAGGATGTAGTGGTAGGGAAAAGAGACCACGGATAGCTGTGTTACCTAATACTTACTGAAGCTGCAAGGAGGGCTCAGAATGTGAAGGGGCAATAGAGTAGGGTTTGTAGGCGGGGCGGGGGGGAGAGAGGAGCGAAGGCGACGTCCCCTCTCAGCTCTGCCCTCGGCCCAACCATACAGAGGCCACCGAGGCCGAAGCCACTCGTTTTCTGTCAGTCACGGAAACCAAGGCTCAATCTGCCCCTAGCATAGCATAAGAAAAAGTGGGGAGAGAGAGAGGAGAGAGACATAGACGGCCGGGCAGTGAGAAACTGCCAGGGAACTTTCAATCTCTCTCTCTCTCTCTCTCTCTCTCTAATCCTCACTTTAAAACACCGCCTTGCCTGGAGTGCAGTGGCAAACTGCAGTCTTTTGCTCTCTACGCACCACAACCTTTCCTCCATCCTCGCTGGAAGAAGTCCACTCTCTCATCCTTCGACCGCAATAATACCATGTAATCTTCTATATCATCCTCTACTCTTATGTCAATTCAGAAGAATGCAAAACAAGCAGGGTTTGATTTGGTTTCAGGAGACCAGAAGGTAACTCGCTAGACCTCAACAACTTGCCGGAAGAACATGGCAAACAACCGGTAGAGGAAAGCTCAATGACCACTGCTGCTTCCGCTGACACCACCCGTAAGTAGGCATTTTTTACAGAATATATGTGAAAATTGGATACTCTGATCCGAACGAAAGATTGTTGCAGGGTTTAAGAAGAAGAAGAAGAAGAAGAAGAAGAAGAATAGTGCAGGGAAGGAAGAAGCTGGAAAGGTGTACGAGTGCCGGTTCTGCTCCCTCAAGTTCTGCAAATCCCAAGCATTGGGCGGGCACATGAACCGACATCGGCAAGGCAAGACCACTGACCACCACATTCCTAGCTGTTGCACCACAAAGAGTTTGAGAAGTTGATGTGACGTTGTTGATTGGAGAGGGAGAGGGAAAGGGAGACGGAGACACTTTCAATCCCTTTGTTCATTAGACAAATGAAGTAGACACTTTCAATTCCTTTGTGTTCATCCTTAGAGAGGGAGACGGAGACGCTCACTCGTGCTCGCCAACTCGTGTTCGGCAACGAAGGCCTTGCCGGTGCTGGTGTTGGTGCGATCGGGTATGTGTTACGGTCAAAGCCATTACCTTCAATGTAATGCACATGAGAAGGTGGAGCTATTTTGGTCTTGTTGGTTTCAGGGATCTCAGTCTCGGGGGCTTCCGACAACGAGGCGGCGACATCGGAGCGCCATGCCTGCGGTTCCAACAGGTCTATCCGAGCATACCAACACGGCCATCTAATCCGCCACCATGGCAGCAATACCGACACCGACCTACTCATCCGCCGGTCCGCAATTACTGCATCGGTCATGTCGTCTCAGGGAGTGCCCAGCGTCTCCCCAGCTACATTTGTGCTCATCGTTGTCAAGACACATGAGAGCAAGAAAGAAAGACTCTCTCTCCAAAGCCGATATGTTTTCTTCTAGTTTTTGTGAGCATGACGACTTGTCAAGGCTATTTCTCTTAAGAGTTGTGGGTGCTACAGGACACTTGAGTCAGTAGATTTCCGTTCGAGAAAAGCTTGCCAAATTGGGTGTTGTGGGCACAGCCACCTACCTAAACTTGTAGCCTGATGGGTCTATGCTGGCTTTCATAATAACTTTGGTACACGACACACAAGACAACCAACCGAGATGTATTAATGATAATAGCCAGGATTTTACCTTTGCGGTGCATGCATGGTTGGTTCTCCATCTGCCTTCTATGATTCGAATCCATGTATGTTCATCAATCTGGGCAGAGCGATCATGGCCTTGACCATTCCTGCGCAGACGTCGTAAACCAATCAGCTGTTAGGTAGGAAATGTGTTCAGATATTCTCTCAGACAATCTTACCAAATGGTAGCTGTGTGCCAAATACCATACATACATTTACACGGAATAAGATGCGATGACGCATTACCAACAAGCTGCAACATGTATGCTGGTGGTCATTGATGGTTACTGCACCCAAAACACAAAAAAGACAGTCATTAACTTATCTGCCTTCTTTTAGTTTCATCCCCTTCTTTCACAAAGAATAAACAATTCTCCTCACACTGTTGCGACACTGCCAAGCAAAGTTATAAGCTTTTGCTAAAACCATAGCATCAACTCAACTAGTGATTAGACATTCTTAAGATCAAAACTAAGCTTTAGAGTTACAATTACTTAATCCTATCTAATGTGTTGCTAACCTAGTAAAGAAGTACAATATTTGCTTCTAGAAACGTTACAACAGACCATAAGAACCACGCAACAAAGTACAGACCATAAGAACCATGCAACAAAGTATTTATAGTGAGCCGAAGGCTCTAATTACTTTCTCCTATATAATGTGTTGCTCACCCAGTAAAGAAGTACAATATTTGCGCTCTCCGATTCTAGAGACGTTACAACAGACAGTAAGAACCATGCAACAAAGTATTTTAAGCGAGCCGAAGGCTCAACTTGTTGGTTCACCGAAAGCCAGTTCAGTCCCACCACATCTGTCATAAAGCAACTGAAATGTATAAGCTAATTCAACAATGACAGAGCAACTGAAATATATAAGCTAATTCAACAATGACAGAGCAACTGAAATATATAAGCTAATTTGACAATGACGGTTCAAAATTTTGTGCATTAGATATAATAATCTACAGCAGGCCGCATGAGCCAAGTTATAAGGTACTCAAAAGGGTTAAAATGCTCAACTAACTTTAAATTCACCAAAGGCCGCTTCATTCTCATCATAAATTTACAGTAAAATTAACCAAGATACTACCTTCGTAAGAACAGATCTCACTGCTTTGGCATCGTTTGAACAACAATTTGAACCAAAAATTTTGTTGAAATACAAAGATGTCTCCACATTTCTCTTCAGCAAATCAAAGGATGTTGGCAATAATCTAAAAAAAACAAGAGGTCTCCATGTATGGAACTAAGAGGAGGCAAGATCACAGTAGGAGACTCCAGAAATAACTGAAAATAAATGACAAAATGACAGTCTGCTTAACATACATAATGGATGAGCTGGGTTCGTAAGATAAAGCTGCTACATTGCCGCTTAAGATCTGCCAAGAGGATCTATGAATATTTTTTGACATGACAATGGTAAAAGGGTATAGTCAAGTAGTGTACAAAACCTATTCAAGTACATCTAATCGTGTACTACTTTTTAAGCATAATACATATTGTGTAAAGTGTCTTCAGAAACTTCAAATTTCATCTCGTCAGATCCATTTTCAAGCAAAGAATGAAACCATCAGGAACTTCAGATGTCAAAGAATGAGAACCATCCTGCAAAGGCATATAATATATTGCTTCATCTACTTTCATTCATCTCATATAAAAGTTGACAAAGTCATTGATCATGTAGAAATAGCAGTGACAGAAAGACCTGAATGGAAGAAACATATACTCATCCCTCCACAACCATAACGCTGGGAACCAAGAAGATTCATAGAGGAATGGTAATTGAGTTATATTTAGCCCATTTGATCTGGACTTGAATTACAAAAATGGTTGAGACTATTTCATACTCAAAGTACTTCCACTTACTTGAATATTCTATCTGCCAAACTGAATAAAGTCAAACTACCTCTTACAGTGATGGCGACCAAGTCATCCATTATAAACCTCCTATAGCTGATGGAGGATGCTACCATGTGACCCAAATTAAAGTATGTGATGAACAGGACAAGAGAAGATAAGAATGGGGTGCACCCTTCCTCATCTCAAATTTCAACTTCTATTATCCTTTTGTTCCTTTTCTTTTTGTTGGCTACAAAGTGGCCTGCACCATTCAAGATAGTGATGATGGTCCTACCAGCAATACCTCACCCGCTATAACATCAACTGGTATAGGACTAAGGAGTCGGATCAATTGGGGCTTTGATCGTGACACCCGACAAGAAACGTTGTCGGATAACTGGATCCGGGGGCGGCTCCCAAACATGTCCAACCCGAGCCTTCGCCCACCCAATTCGCCTTGGAAACAAAGAACAAGGAGACTAATCGAGCGAGTACCGTGAAGTCTCTGCTTATTCCTCACAAAATCTGAGATGAATAAGTTCACCATCAACGGGTGGATCCGCAACAAAGTCTTTGATTTGCTATGCATTCATAAGAACAACACACCGACGGGCATGAAGCATGAATTAACCGAGACTTGGGAAGCAAATGGTATATCATCATAAGAACAGTCGATTACCCATTCCGCAGAATCAAATAACAAATTCCCGGCTGAAATCCAAGAAGAGACGCATAATTTTCCGACCTACCTGGAAGAAGCAGCCACCGATCCGAGCAAAGCAGGCTGTTGAATGCGTGAGGCCAACCCCTCGGAGCCGGGCGACAACTCCACGAGTCACCTCCCGACGAATCACCGCCCACGCCGGTGCTGTTGCGGTCGACTCGACACCGCAACTCCTCTTGAATGATTTGTGCATTCCAACCCTAGATCGAATCTTTACCAAGAAGACGCTCGCACGAGACAGGCGAAAGCGGAGGAAGAGACGCGTGACGTGCCGTCGGGCCTCTCCGCTGGCAGTGGACCCTCTCCAACCTTAAATACTCCCCTTTGCATGGTGTCCGCTGAGATAGGCCCCACCAAAATCAGTGGCTCCAGTTCAGCCTCCACTTTGGGGGCTGGGGGGAGGTCCAGCTTTACATCAAGACCGTCCACTAATGTTGGCCCCATTGGTCAGATCAATCAACGTCCCTATGATCTAAAATTTCTCATGTGCTTAGTATTAAATACATATCGCTACACATTTATGCCGTAACTATTTATTATCCTCTCACAAAGACCACGTAAACTTAGTCAAGCCGAACACGATGCCCTCATGGATATCTTAAAGTATAATTAGTGCCATAATCCTGGTTTGACGAAAACAAAGGTGACACTCTAAAATAGACTTGGCATGAAAGAAAGAACTGCTGTTATTAGTGTTTGTTTGCTGCCTGCCAGCTTCTTCTTTTGTGGGAGCCCTATCCACCAAGAAACGTAGCCACGTAAAGCAAAAAGCTAAAGGTGCGCTTCGCTCTCTCTCTCTCTCTCTCTCTCTCTGCTCTATGTATTATATATATACATATATAATATATATGTCACTTTTGTTTTGTCACTCAATGGTCACAGGAGTACCTATACACTTTTCTCCTTTTTCTACCCAACATTGCATCCCAAAACCTCGATCTCCAAGTCACACCAACATGCATGCACCCATGTCCAACTGTGGGCACCTGTCTCTGTCTTTGCAGTGACAAGGTCAGGGTGGGATGCATGTTCTCATGTATATCCAGGCGCTTTATCTAGTCATCAGGCAACCTAAAGCAAAGCAGATTACACGACGCTGGCGACGTTGGAGTTAGCGAACAGGGAAGAAGAAAAGTGGGGACGAATCTCTTTGGATTTTGCCGTCCCATACTTTCACTTTGCTCATCTTCTCCTCGCACCACCGCAGCTGCTCTTGGCTGATCTCAGGCATCCTTAGGACTCTGGACACGATCTTCATGTCTATTAGACCCATCAATATCTCCATATCCTCTTCTCCTTTTCGCTTCTTCTTCGTCAGACACCTTCTTCGCTTCGAGAGATCCTTAAGCCTCGTCTTGTTCTGAAATGAAGATATCGTGTCCGTATGAGTATACAAGGAAAAAGAAGAGCAGAAGTTGAAGAGGCAGTGCATGAATGACCCACTTTCTTATTAGTTCTTTTGAGAAGACGAAGAAGATTTGGATCCACCGAACTGGGCTTTGTCTTGAAGAAAGCTTTGAGCATTTGGCAAGGATTCGTCGTGTCTGCCTTGAGGAAGTTCATGAACGTTCGAATCGCATCTTCGAGAATCGCCAAGAACTCGGTGGATGAGATCATTTCTTCTTTACCTTCATCTGCTTCTGTATCTTTTGAGGTCAGTGATGCAGAGAGAGAGAGAGAGAGGTTAGCACTTGGGAAAGTCTAAAAGATAGGCAATGAGGCAAAGGAGACAGGTGTGTAGCAACCTCGGAACTCAGGAACTTGGAGCAACTTTGGAGAAGAAATCCGCTTCCAAGCGAAGACTTGGGGCCTCCGACCGCGCTCATAAGGCTCATTTTCTATGAATCGCTGCAAGAGGACCTGGAACTGTTGGAATTGCTGAGCTATCCATGCGGTGCAAGAAGAGCTTTCGCTGTCTGATCCCTTGGCAATCCTTCGCCGGAAGTTGGTGTAATTCCAGTTAAGAGCTTCCCATGCGAGGCAAATCTGAGACACATAAGCACCCTCCAGTTCTTGATACGGATCCCTGCTTCCCCTGTTCTTGTGTGTTGTAAATATGTGAGCTATCCTTTGCGAGGTTGATCTTGGTTGGAACTTCATCGATCTAAATAATTCTGAAAATTACGGTATACGTGATCTTGTCAATACGTGAACCAAATTTGTCGAGGGAGGATGTGAGAAATGCATGACGAGTGACCTGTTTCCGTCAGCTTTTGTGCGCTGATTCTATCGAAGAACATCATCTCCTCGTCGTACTTGCGGAACAAGGTGTACGTTTCCCAGTTGGAAGAGCTCCTGCGTGATGAGGAGGAGAAGGGGCATTCTGTCTCCGAGTCCCTGAAGATCGTGGAGCTTCTCCACTCCATAGAGCTCTTGGATGTCGATGCACCTGTGAGAGAACCACCGAACGTGTCCTCCTCCAGCTGCAACCTTTTGCTGTCGACAGAATGGGTTCGGTCGACGATGAAGAGTTTCTCCTTCTTTGACAACTCCTGCTGCTTCTCATCTTCATTGCTGTGGAGCGCATCCCCACCCGTATCTTCATCTGTAATCAACAGCATAAGCTATATCAACAGAAGGCTTTATGCTTCCAACAAGTAGTGGCATCTAAAGGTACCTTTTAGAGGCCCATTAGATATGATTGAAGGTGGATGATTCGATGGTTTTAGGTCGACGATCGCCGCAACATCGCCATGCTCGAGCCCGAGACCTTCATGGTCTTCCAGAGGGGATTCTGCGACAAAGCTTTCGTCGACTTTGAAGGCGTGTCGCTCATCGAAGTCTTTTGCTTCTTCGAGAAGTGGGGTATCAGCAGTGATGCTTTCGTCGTAGAAAAACAGTAGGCCGTCTTCCGTGCCAAAGATGCTGGCAGCTAACTCTTCGACATCAGAGTAGCACTCGTACGTTGTTATGGGCTTGATCTCATCTTCGCTGATGAGCTGCGAATTCCTGCAATAGAAGGTTAGTAAAGAGACAGTAAGAAAGAGAGGATCAACGTAGTTGAGTACCTTTGGTCTGTCGAAGCGGCAACTCTTTCAAGGAGGGAGGTGAACAGCTTGGTAAGGAGGAAGGTGACGAGGTGGAGGAGGACGAGGAAGGCGGAGACATGGAAGACAAACATCACAGCCTATTCTTGGGAGGTTTGGCCATGTCAAGAGAGATGAGAAACTGGTTAGCTGGGAGCTTGCAGGCCAATCACTCGGAGGAATGCAAGGGGGAGACTGCCGGTGTCCATTTATGAGGGTGGGGTGGTGGTAATGTGCGTTGCAGCGAGCACGATGACGAACTGCTGCTTTGTGGTGAGGAAAGTGGGATGACACGAACAAAACTCTTAAAGCGAAGGTTATCATCATATCCTCTGAAAGTAAGTGGGTCAGCAGTGGTGACCTGATTCAACAATTACAAGCTAAACTCCGGCATGGCTCCAATGACCCTTTGACTCGATGGCATAATATGACCAAAGAGGTTTGGCACGTGACACCCGGAAGGTGGGGTATGGCGGGCTCATCATCACCTGTAAAAGCAGTGAAGCAAACTGAACTACGTTTGTTATATCACAATTTGTGTTGCGCCCGCAAGAGCATCAAATGCAACAAATCCTGGTGTGATGAGTGACCCAAAGGGATCAAAAGGGAATCACCATTGCAGCAAAAGAACTTGCTTTTACCTTCTTTTGTGTGTGTGTATGTGTGTACTTGGTTATTCTAGGCTAGTGTAAGTCACATGAGATGCAGGCAGATGTCGAACCTTTTTTCTGAATTTTGCTGGACTTGCTTCGAACGACTAGGAAAACGCATCAGGGTGAAATCATCCTCTCCAGCTTCAACTTGCTGCTTGTTCTTTTGATTCTTCGAGTTGGTTTGGGGAGGCTTTGATTTCCGATGCTGGCAGGTCCTTCAGAGAACTGCGCATAGAGCAACTGTTCAAAACGAATGGATGGCTAAAGGCATCCAGCAAAAGCATCTTCATTGTTCCAGAGGAATTCAGCATGCATGCATTAAAACAACTGGGAACAACAATATTATCAATTCATTGAGAAAAGAATGATCACCTTCAAGCCTCTAAACATACTATTGTCTACAATAACAGATATATATAAGCAAGCATATACTCTCATTCTTTATCATGGAGGAAAAAAAAACTCTTACTCCGAGTCAGACTAATATGGATGGAATGCTCGAGATGGTGGCAGACTTTGTCTTCGATCGATTAGAAGAACCATGCATCTCAAAATCACAATCCGAAGCACCCAATTGCATATGTTCAAACAAGCTTTAATTTTAAAAGAGCAGAGATTCTTCACATGGTTCGCAATTACCATAGCAAACTTCAAAAACACAAATTATAAATTGCCCATGAAATGGTATTATTACCTGTACTAGTTCATCACTGTTCCTGGCACAAGGTGGAAAGCGATCCGAAGGCAATATGTGAATATTTGCACCAGTATCACCTCGAAGTTACTGAATAATTGTTCCACCCTTGCCAAGAAGACACCCAACTTGATTCTTGGCGAACCAAATTCGAGCAGTAACAACACCATCAGGTTCAGTATTTTCTTGTATCACACCACCTCGTAGAATCTCATCTGCAGCAATCCAATAGTGGATCTTCAGTAAATCATCTTGTGCAGGACAACGGGAACGCATATCCTCTAACTCAATTCCATCATTATCATAGGGATCCTGATCAGAATCATTTCTTTCGGATTGCCACAGGTAACAAAAGATCATAACTACTCTCTCCTCTGCCCCGGGAACAGCATCTGCAACCCTTATCTTTGCATGGGTCACACCTCTGAGCGCGTTAATTATTTCACCTCCTTTCCCAAGAACATTACCAATCTTTTTCACAGGACAAAAGTATGCGATAAATAGTATCAATAGGTTTAGTTGTCGTAGAACCACGACCAAGGCTAGAATTATGCCTCTTCCTTTTCGCATTATCAAACTGGTCTCGAGATCGTTTCCTGAAACTGCCTGATTTGGGCCTCCCATATGACTTATGATCATCAATGTTGCTCCTAATAGACCTTCAATGGCACAAATAAAAGCACTATGAGTTAAAACGACTGCTTCCACCTCCACCAGCAAGTAGACTTCCCAACCATCCAGCAAGTCACAGTTGCCAATGAATTAATAGAACCACTTCTTTTGTTACAAAAAGGTACTATATGTCCAAAATCCATGCCAAAAAACCCTCTACTTGGGAACAAATTATAATACTAGTTAGATGTAAAGCTCTGACGGATGCTTAAAGCAGGTGGTATGTCCACCTTTCATATGCATACAACAAAAGTAGCTTTTTGGAGGAAGCTTAGCATTCTCAAATCCTAATAAGTTTGGTATGATGTAGAAAACGAAATTCTGAGTGCTTTGCGAAAGCTTATGTCCAAAATTCATGCCAAACGACCTGACTAAATCTCCATAGCCGATTCAAGAAGCACAATTCGATAAAGCGAACAGCCCAAGTAAAGCCGAGCAGCCCAAAACGTGAACCGAGGGTTGCAAGAAATCATCCGTCACGCAATTAACACCCAATATTCTCGAAAAACCCTAACTCAGAAACGGAGATACTAAGGGTTGCAGGAAATAATGTGTCACATATATACTACTCAATATTCTGCAGAAACCTAAGAATTAAGAAACACTCGACACTATCGGCTGTAAGAAATCATCCGCGACCCAACAACGACTCAAGAACCCTAAGACACAACAGAGGAAGACAGTGGACAAGAACTATAGGAACGAGCAGAAGCGGATAAAAGCAATAAAGGGGGAGAGTGAGAGAGCTTCCCGTTCGCGTGGGGAACTGCCGCCTCTCCTCCTCCTCCTCCCTTGTTCGAACAGACGTGACAGAACACAAGCGACAAAGATCGAGGATGGGTTATGTCTGGTAGCGGCGAGGGAAACGCTGTTCCGGCTAACGGAACGCGGACTCGACCACGAGATACGAATAGATATATAATTATTATTTATATATATAAAGTAATTATTATTATTATTATTATTATTATTATTATATATATATATATATATATATATATATATATATATAACTATTGAATCTTAATCTCAACCAAAATAATAAAAAAAGCTTATAAATAAGTATTCTAATATTCTACCAAAATAAGAAAAAGCTTATAAATATAGTATTCTAATATTCTATGATCAACGATATCATATGAGGTAGATGTGTATGTCAATTATAGTGTTTTTCAAAAACTAAACTATGTTTTGGACAGATCATTAAAAAACACTATAAAGAATAAAGATAAATACAATAAATTAACCTAATGATTCCTAAACCTCGTCAAAACAAACTACAAGCTTACAACTGTGTTCTTCTAATACTTTACAATAAACAATATTGCAAGAGGCAAAAATTCATGTCAATTATAGTATGTTAATCTAAGGAAAAAAATTATATATATATATATATTGTCATTGAATGGCGACAGGAGGAGGAGGAAGACGAACACGTTGGCGGTGGTCCCCGCCCCACCGCAGCCTTTGCTTCGTCGCTTCGCTTCTTTGACCGATCTGTCTCTCTCAATTATTTCACCTGTCGGTCACGCCCGCTTTGTGGTCCCCACACCCGCAGCCCTCACACGCACACGCGCACTCTCTCTCTCTCTCTTTTCCGGTCTCACGTGATCTCCTCCCCGTCTCGGTCTGACGCCTGCCACGTTGCCGTCGCTACCCACGTGTCCTCCTGCCCGTGCTCCACCGGTTCGGCCAGCCGTCGCACGAGTCATCACGAGCCGCACGCCACTGAGAGCTGGATGATAAATGCCACTAACCCTCTGCCGCATCGAATCGCTGTCCCCGATCGACCACCGAACACCACTTGCAGCCACTCATGCAGCTACTTCCCTACCTCCCTCGACGCCATCGCCAACGTGCCCGCGTCGGTGGGCGCAAGTTTCGGGACGCAGATGGAATCTCGCGAGGGTGACTAGAACACGTGGCCATATTAACATTTTAGGGCAACTAAAATTTCAATTATCTTTGATCGATTCAAAGTTATCCTATCCAAAACGCGGTCAAAGAGAGAGGGTTTGGATCCGTTAGTGATTCCCCAAACAACATAGAAGCCGCAGGAAACGGTACTCGCCGATGGAGATTAAGATAGGGGAAACCGTCTCCAGCCGAGCCGAGAAGACGAAGCCAAACCAAAAGTAAAAGGCGACCCGCCCGGCGCTCGTGATGCGGTGGCCCCCATATTCCCCGATCTCCGCGCCCACTGCGCCTCCACCTTAAGCCCCCCGTGTTTCGTGACTTATTGAGCGTCTGGTACAATCGGCCAATACTTTTCTTGTTTACGAAAAAGCCCCTGGGAAAGAGAAGAGCAAAATCCCAAACCCCCCTCCCTCGCCTCCCTATATAAGTCCCCTACGCCGTTCACGAACCTATTCACACGCGTACTAGTGCTGTTCTCCGTGCGCTTTTCCTTCCTTTTTCCCATTTTACCCTAATGGAAATGTCTTCTCCGTCCATCAGCCGCAAGAGGCGTCGCGACGAGGGCGAGGAGGAATCGCCTCAGATGTCGTCTCCGGAGGCCAAGCGCCTTCTCCTCGACATCCTCGACGACGACGACGACGACGCCGACGCCGACGCCGGGGACCAGGACGTCACCTCCGTCATGAAGAGCCTCGAGGAGGAGATGGCCCTCCCCTCGCCCCCGCCGCACGTACCCCCGCAGGATGCGGCGGTGTCGGACCCGCCGGACTTGGGGTACCTCTTCGAGGCCTCCGACGACGAGCTCGGCCTGCCACCGCCGGCTCCGTCCTCGTCCGGTGATGGCAGCGAAGCGTACGATGAGGAGGAGGGGATCGGGTTCGGCCAGATCTGGGGGTTCGACGACGACGATCTCAGTGGGTACGTTGGATTCGAACTTGGGATCGGGGCGGAGGCGGAGGACGTGGTAGTGTTCGACGGCGAGCTTTTCGATTACGGCGACGCGACAGCGTGCGCGGCGCCGGAGTACGCGGATCTCTCGTGGCGGTCAGAGACGCTGCCTGCCGTCTGATGGAAATCGGACGCTTCTCCTCTCTCTTACCTTTTCCTTGTTTTTAGAAACGGTAGGTGGTGTTTGTCCGTGAAAGGCGAAAGCCGTGAGAAGCAGTAAAGGGGTCATCGGTTTTCTAATTCAACGATGTAATCCACATGACTCGACCTTCTGATGGGCATCCAACGGTGTAGAATTGTGGAGTAATTCGAAGAAAAACGATTTACTTGTGATATGGGTTACTACTGCACTAATTGGGATTACAAGAAAAACTACATGAATTTTGGCATTAATTAATAATTAGTTTGTGAAAATGATATTTATTTATTTTTAAATTGTCATAGGAGATAAGAAATAAAATTGACATAAACATAAACATATATATATAGTCCAATAATAATAATATGGATTTAAGTTGGTATATACATAAAGTTGTAAATCATCATATCCACTGATGATTTCAACTTTATTTCATGCGATAGATAATATTATAAACCCTTGTAAAGGTCAACTATTTCAAATTTTGACTTTTGATTTTTCGTCCAAGTCAAACTCATGCGCATACGCACGTTTGGTTGGTTGTAAAAGGTAGATTTTATCTTTAAATAATAATAATAATAATATTCATTAGGGTAAATCTAACCATTCTATTTGTTTATATTTAACCAACGATCACTTAACTTAATAGAAATTGATGACTAGAGTTATCTATTTGATACATTGCAAAACATAATGAGTGAATGACACGTTCCTAATCTTTTCGTCATCAGGTGAACTATTCCAGGTTTTGACTTTTTCTTTTCGTCAACGTACGTAGGGCCAATTAATCAATAGATTATGCCAAGTCAAGCATGCATGCACGTAGATTTTATATCTGAATAATAACAACAACAATAATAATAATAATATCAATCTAATTATTTTATTTGTTTCCATTTGAATGAAGATCTCAATCTAATATCTTACCAAAGATAACGAGTGCATCAATCAAACAGTACGAATCTATCACGATTATTCTCTCAAAAAACAAATTTTTTTAAGATCCGATGAACAAAAAATTTCTGTCATATCAATCATGTACATGAACGAGGCCACCGTAAGTTGACCGCAAATCTTTCCTCACCACCGTATGAATCTGATATTTAAGTATCTTCTTGTTTTTCTCCTTCACCTATTTCTTGAAAGTAATAATTCTAAAATAAAAGGAAACCTTTTTTTGGGTATATTTTATTTATTTATCGTCTAAATCACGCACCGCGAATGACACTAACCCGCTTCTCACCCGATGGTTGTTTCAGCCGTTTGATTACTGATCGCTCTCGTCGAGATTCGCACCAAAGGAGGTGGGGCCGGCGACGGATCAGGGTCACTCGTTCACCCACCCCTTTCCGGTTCGCTCTTGCTGCTGCTATAAATGAGCCCCGACCCCATCTCCTTCCTTCCTTTGGCGCTGCCCTCCGCCCTCCTCCTCCCGGGGTTTTAGAGAGGACAGGAGCGAGCGAGAGGTTGGATTTATGTCGTCTGGTTCCTTCCGTCTATCGTCGCTCCGTCCCGGAAAGATCGAAGCTTTGGATCAGCAGTGCTTTGCCTCTTGTACCATCGGTGGTCTCGCCTTTTTGCTCCTCCTCCTCCTCTTCCCACGTCTCATCTTCTATCCGCATGCGACAGAGGCCGGAGGGATCCAAGAAGACGGATTCGATGCGATATATCCGGTACCCATCCGTCCCACCCCTCTCATTCTCGTTATTTCTCTTAGAAGATAAGATTCGGGAAAGATCGATTGTTAGGGCTTTCTCTAATTTTTTGTTGCAGGGTTGGGTTTGGAGTGAAGTATTTTGGATTTCAGCATATAAAGCGGTGCTATTACCTTGACATCATCTCTAGAGGAGACTTCACTTGACGGAGAGATCAAAACCACCTACTTTTTTTTTTTTTTGCTTAATTTTCTTTCGGTTTTGTTCCTTTTTTGTTTTGGGTGTTGGGAAGAGAAGCAAAGTGCTGGAGCTGCAGCGTGGAATGAAGCAGGATAAGATGGGGAAGAGGAGGAGGGGGTTAAAGCAGCTCCAACGATCCGATTCTACTCCCAGGATCGAATCCAAACAGTTGATGCGAAGAATCCGCATCGTTTTCGATGATCCTGACGCCACTGATTCGAGCGATTGCGAGGGGACGAACTCCCCCCGCGGGAAGAGGGCGATTCACGAGTTCCCGTTGCCTCCCCCTTTCCCTCTTCCCCTGGCGCAGGCCTCGTCGCAGGAGAGCACCGGGCGTAACTCAAAAGCCCTTCGGAAACCCAAGGACAGATGTCTCGGCTCTGTCACCTCGTCTTCGACCGCTTCCTCCCTCACCAAGTTTAAGGGAGTCAGGCGGCGGCCGTGGGGGAAATGGGCGGCCGAGATCCGCGACCCCATCCGCGGCGCCCGCCGCTGGCTCGGCACCTACGACACCGCGGAGGCCGCCGCCGCCGCCTACGCTGCCGCCGCTCTCGTCTTCCAGGCTGAGAAGAAGGGCCTCTCCTCCGTCGCGTCATCCAACTCCTCGACCACAACCATCACCGCCGCCGCCTGCGCCTCGGTGCGCTCCGACGCCGTGGAAGTGGCGGCCCCGGCCTCCCCCTACTCCGTACTGGACGTCCCTATCTCCGGCGTCGTGGATCCGCCGGCAAAAACTACAACGGCGGTGGAAGTGGAGGAGCAGTCCATTGCAGAGCTGTTCGAGGGGCAAGGGCCGCCCCTTCCTTGCCCGATGGAGGCGGAGTTCGGATTCGGGTTCGATCCGTTCCTCATGTGCAATTTCGGGTCGGATCTTTATGCTAACGAGTTGGTTCCCCTGGCGGATCTCCCCATAGACGACGAGATCGACGACGGAGATTTCCCCAGCCTTGACGTCATCGAGCGGTGGATGGACTTTGACTTCTAGTTGACTGGAAATTTTTGCAGCTCATTCATCACCCCCATTTAAGTTACTACTTGTGGAATGAATGAGAGTCAGTTCGGTGAGTGTGGTAGGAATTAGCAGTAGAAGAAGAAGAAGAGGCGTTTGAGAGGAGGGTCCATTTTGCAGCGTTCCTCGTTTGGTTTGTTCATCTGGCGCTCTAAGAGCCGCCCCTTAGTGAATGAGACGCTTGTCCTTAGCTCTCGGTTTTTGCCCTCGTCTCTTTCAGACGCTTCTCTCTCTCTCTCTCTCTCTCTCTCTCTCTCTCTCCTTTACTCGGTCACAGTGAACCGCACCACCAGCTTGTTTGAACGTCGAACAAACTGACACACACACACACACTGAGCATGAAGAGACGAACGCTTGACTGCTCCTAACTATGTGGGAAAATATGACTTATTATTGGGAGAACACTTTACGAACAACTGACAAAGTGCTCGAGACAAATACAATACGTTCGATCACAAGGCTACAAATTTTACGTAGACGAAGACAAACACTCCTTTGTCGGGCTTTATTTATGTCCCAACTCTAAAACCCCAACGATAGAGATTAGAGGAGCAAGGAAATGAAACACATATAGCCTATTGTACCGCTGTACTGTAATGACGTACATGTAGCTGCTGGAATTTGCAACGAGGAACGCTTTGTCCTCCATCAATGCTTCAGCAGCAGGGGTCGAATCATTGCGTTGTCTTCATGATCAAGAATCTGCACGCACACAAGGAATTGCAAGTCAGTTGAGTCACACAGACCATATGCTCTGCACATAAGAAGGGCGCACTTAGGAATCACTTACATGGCAATGGTAGACGTAACCTGGCTCGGCTGTTGCATCAAACGGGTAGTGCGCGTCTCTATCGATGAGCTTAAACTTCACCACGATCGTGGTCATGTAGCCCGGCTCGATCTTCACTATGTTCTTCCACGTCTTCTCGTGCTCCGGCACGGCTTTCAGCTGCCCCGTCGCATGCGCCTTCACGTTGCACTTGACGGCGTCGTTCTTCCGCGTCATGCACGCTTTGAACGCCTCCAGATTCACCAGCTCCCTCACCCGCACCGCCTGAAACGTCGCCAGATGCAGGTGAAGAGGGTGGTTGTCCCCTGTCAGGTTGATCACCTCCCACACCTCGGTGCTCCCCTGCTTCGGCGTCTCCGTCGCCGGGTCCTCCAGTCTCTTCCCGTTGATATACAGGTGCGTCGGCTCGCCCGTCGTGCTCTGGTACTCGTACAACACGATGTACCTCCGTACCGTCCCCTCCTTCTCGTCCGCCTTGGGGTAATTGGTCATCAAGCTAGCTGGAATCCTAGAGTCGTCCTTGGTCTTCTTGGGAGATACGACGAACTTCATGACCTTGCTGCTCAGGGTGCTCACCGGGTCTCCGCCGGGGAATGGGTAAGGCGCGCTATTCGTTAGCCTGACGGTGGAAGTTTTTGATTCGGAGAAGTCGACGACGACGTCGAAGATCTCGGCCGGTGCAAGGAGAATCCACGACGCGGTGACGGGCTTCCGGAGGTACGACACGTCGGAGCCGATGACGGTGAAGGACGAGCCGTTGGACAAGGAGAGGTTGAAGTAACGGGCGTTGCTGCTGTTTAGGATACGGAAGCGATACCTGCGGCCCTGGACTGCGAGGTACGGACACGCCTTGCCGTTGACCACGATGACCTCCCCGAAGTACTCGGGCTGCCACTGCGGGTGGATGGTGGGGTTGTTGCCGGTGTAGTTCATGTAGAGGGAGCCGTCCTCGTAGAAGCTCCGGTCGTCGAGGACGAGCTGGCGGTCGTACTCGTCTCCGGTGGGGAGGCCGAAGGGGGCCTCCGCCAAGGGGTTGCGGATGACGTAGGTGCCGATGAGGCCGGCGAGGAGGTTGGCGCGGGTGAGGCCGAGGGCGTGGTCGTGGTACCAGAGATTGCCAGGGTGCTGCACGTTGGGGTAATGGTAGGTGGCCTGCGTCCACTTGGTGCCCTTGTCACGGAAGTCGGCGGTGTACCACGCGAAGGCGCTGCCGTCGGACTGCGGCTCATGGACGCCGCCGTGGAGATGGACGACAGCAGGGACGCCGCCGTGCTTGGCGATGGCCACCGGGACCGTCGGGTCCCAAGGCAGGATGTGCTTCTCCGGGAGGTGGTTCTCCCAGGTAACATTGAGTGGGACCCCCTGCAGGGCCTCGATGGTGGGGCCTGGGAATGTGGCCGCCTCGCGGCTAGCGCCGTAGACGAAGAGGGTGGTGGCGGGCAAATCCCGGTGGAACTTCTGCATGAACAAATAAAGGAGAAATTACATAGATTAACATTATATATACCATGATTTTTAATACATTAAATTTAACTATGTAAGACCGATCGACCATGCAACAATTCATTAAGATGTCTCCACATGTCCTAATAAGCTACAGCAAGTTTCGAGGAAATAGAATGTTACCCATTTCTTATGGAACATGCCAATGGTGAGACTGATAGACTTTGGATGTCCATCCTGCGTGGAATAGCCAGAGATCTTGGGCACGATGGGGAGGGGTTCGATGTACTTCTTCAGAGAGTGAGCTATCCTTCGAAGGGTCTTATCGGTCACAGCAGGAGGCGATCGGTTTCCGGCAGCGAGGCCGACGATTAGGACGAGAACAGCGAGCACCAACTTTGCCATCATCGATTTTCTGTATATATCCTGCGACGAACAACAGCTATTGCCACCATAAGAGCACGATAAAGAGCTTACTTAACATGCAGCATGATTATGGGGTCGGATGTGGCAAGCACAAGCAACTATATATATATATATATCTCTCTCTCTCTATGATTGATCTTGAACATGGTAGGTCATCTTGAGTTGCTTGCCACGCATGAAACAATTGCGGCATACGTAGATTAAAGAGAGAAGAATAATGCTTTTGACACAAATTGGGCTGTTTGAGCTATATGGTGCATGTAGGTAAGGTGGGTTTGGTAGGGAAGTGATCAAAGTAGGGTGCCTTGCTTCCCATAAGCTTAGATACGGTTGGTAACTATTAATAAGATAGCATTTACTAGATCGACTCCATTCTAAATCCCGGTAGAAATCGTCTATAGACAGCTCTCTCTTTCAAGAGAAAGTGTACATTGGTAGCCATGCATGCAATTGAGAACTCATCTCTCTCTCTCTCTCCCCTTGTGCCTGTGAGATTGTATGAAACACTGGTGGTTATCCATCCATATGAGAACTGACAAGACGAGGAACGAGAAGGGAGATGACAAGAAGAAAGGAAACCTTGCCTATTGTGAGGGAGATGTCGTAGCTTTGGAGTCCGGGAAGAGCAACAAGCCGTGATGGAATGGCCGAGGGCATGCACAAGCTCCATCTATATACACACCCAACAAAACCAACGCGTCAACATGCACTATCTCTACACGTTACGTGAGAGAATGGTCTAAGAGAACCGATCAAAGTTATTGTCTTCAGCCAACAAAGGGCTACAAAACAACGGCACCAGTCGATGGATGACATCCCACATCATTATCAGAAAGATTCCTCTTCGTTGAAACATCCTCATCATCCTGTGACTGCTTTGAGCTTTTGAGCATTAGAAGCATTCGTTCGTGTTCAACGCTAGCTGCGGAGTGGTTAGCACATAGTGGTATCATGTTTTCTTCCATGGGATGATCATGAAAGGTCAGCTGCAAAGTTTTTGTGAAGGCTCGGTTGGTAAGATATAAAAAGCCTCGAGGAAGGACATGGTCGACAATCTTCACATCCTTCTTTTTGGATTTGTTAGGCAAGTCGATCCGGCATGAGAAAGAGTTGACACTCTCTTCTGCCAAACGGATGCAGGAGTTCCACTTCTTGCAGCTGGCTAGCCAACTATTTTGACAAGCATGCTTCTCTCCATGGAAGATTTTTGCAAGCCCACTGTTTGTCAAACCAACACTCATTACATGCATGAAACGTTAATTAGTGATCTTGTTTCCTCGTAGGAGGATACTCACCTTTCAAATACATAGTTTATGAACGTAATGCTAAGGAACAGCACTTCCATGTAGGTAGGTGATGAGGCTTTTGTAGGTGGAGAGAAGCTTATGGGTTAAGGACGGGACACTGAGTCGCGACAGCGCGGGTGTGCATCGTGGGCCTGCGCGAATCTCGATGAGGTCCATCATGATTCTACGCGAAACTCAAAGCGTCGTCTCATGGAGACTTGTTTCTTCTACTTGCGTGCTCGAGTCCTGGTTTCGTTTGGTGGCCGAGCGACATGACGGAGGAACAACTTGGAGGACATTTGAATTCCACGCTGTGAGGTCGGTTCTCCTTTCGCTAGTAGATAAAGATTGGACCTTTGCATGCGGTGATAAAGGAGGAGTTCCTCTTCCGAGGACCTGCTTTTGATGGGTCAAAACCTTGAAGTGAAGATCTTTATGGCATCACCTACTACGTCGACTTTGTGTTTGATGATAAGCCTCTATGCCCCACTCGGAGAACCATAGCAGTAGGAAAGAAGTCGGATCGTTGCAGAGAAAAGATCGGCCTTTTCGGCTTATGTGACGTGTTATGGACGATGGGATTAGGCTGTATCTTTTTTTTTCTCGCGATTAGGCTATATCTTAGATAAGAAACGTATAAGACACAAATTGTGTGTTATTTGGTATCTGAGATTGCAACATCGGATAAGTTAATTGTACTACAGTGGTTAGGATTTAGAAGTTGAGATTTTAGTACAGGTTTAACACTTCTATATAACCACAAAATGATGATCAAGAACGATCAATCTCTTCTTGCTTGGTCTTCTCTGTTTCCATTGTCTATTGGAAACCAAGCCACAAGAAATTGGCAACTGCTTGAAGCTTGATGTACTTGTATGCTGTCCCTGGTTTTAGTATGTCTTATTCTCTTGGCTTCCGGTATCACGATGCTATTCTCCTAAGGGCACGTTAGAACCTGGTAGTGAATGACTTGTTGGTGAAGAATTTAAAGAAGATAGATGAAGCTGAATGTTTATGGACGAGTGAGGACAATGAAGGAGATAATGAGAATAATGATAGCCATTTGGAGATGGACATTGGCAAAGGAAGGAAGCGGGCATAGGAAAACTAAGAAGCTACTGATGTTGATAACAATAATGATTTGTGAGGCGTATGTTGTCAAAGTGTTGAAAAGGCTACTTTGTAGAGTGGGAGTGATGATGTTCCTATTGATGCACACCCAAATGAACATAGTAATACGTATGTAGACAAACTACTTGATTTTTAGCAGACCCCAAAGTTTAAGATCATTTCGGAGCTTTCAAAAGCAGCAAAGGATCCCTTAGTTTATTCCAGGATGCAGCTTGGAGAGCTTTGCACACTGAGCTTGCAGTATGTTCACTTTGTGATGAGCTTTGCATCTCTATCTTACACAACTCTTTGACAGAGAAACTATCAAATTAATGTGCGACGCAGTTGGATTTGAAGTACAGAAAATTATTGGAACCTATTATATGGGTCTGGCCACATGATTTGTTTTACTGTCACTAAGCTGCGTCGAGGGAAATATCACCAATTAATTATTTGGTTTGGCTGATTCCAGATAACTTTGCACAGGTCCTTCAAATGTTTATTTCTAAAACTTGATTTAATACAGAAAAAAATGTAATGTCAGGGGAACTCTTTTATACTAAAAATTTGTGTTGCTAAATCCTAGAGTAGTTTCTTCAATAAGTACAAACTATGGTGCTCTCATGGTAGTTAGTAGATTGAACAAGAAGATGAATCAATCATAAGGTGATTCCGAGTTTGCTGCTAATGATAACTATGCAACTTTCTCTATCTGTGATTAAAACATGTCCATATCATTGGAGATTGAAGGAACTGGGTACCTTTTAGCTTTAGGAAACTGATACAGGAGAGGATGCTGGGTGCATTGTCCCTTCAGCTACTACAGAAGGGGTATGTGGTAAATTTGCAGCAACTGGATATGGGATTAGGTAGTTTCAAAATCTATCTGCAATTCAGCTCAGGAAGAAGGAAATTTCTTGGCCATGGTGCAGCCATTGATTTGGATTAACTCTTGTGTTAATAAAGTTAATTCCATAAGAGCCACACAATTGGAGTTTGCAGTACCATTTTCTGGTTGAAACACATTAATCTGTTGCAAATATGGACTGTCATTAGATAGTGATCTTTATTTCTACTTTCTCTATTTTGGTCCATAAGATATAGTTAGTCTAATTCCTTCTGGAACACAAGTGCTTCAGATAAAATTTAGTTATGCAATAGTTAATCCAACCAAAATATCTGATCAAGGTTCAACAAATGTGTCCATATCTCTCTGATCTTGAACATTTGACCTGCTCACTAACTATTCTGTTGGCTGATAGGATTACAAAGCTCTCTGTTTTCTAAACTGCATGCCAAAAATGCAGAAGCTGTGCTGCTTGATCCCCCGGCCAATCCCTGTATCTTTAGACTTTTTATAAACCCTCACCCTTCCTGTCATCATGTCCTTGTACTAAAAGTAAGTGACAAATCTCCTAATGCTACTAAAGCTGACGAGCAACATCCAAAGACTTGTTGCATTTACATTGATTTTGCTGCACACTGTCTAATATAGTCTCAGCTTTTGTCCATTATTCATCTGTTTCTGTCTCTCTGTCTTCTACCAGCCAAGATGGGAGGACTGGTGTGTGGGTATCACATGGGTATTGGTAACCACTCTTTGCATCATTCCCCTGGTGACTCCCAGTGAAAGGCTGCTGACTACCTCTATCTTTGAGACTAAGTTTTGACTGTTGGAGAAAAGGAAAGCAAATCTATCAACTGCGGAACCAAACCTGATCATACCGGCATCTTCTTTTTATCATGCATTTGCAGCTCTGGACTTTCTTTATCCGTCCATCGAGGACTGTGACACTGAACAATGCCGGTAAGTCATCATCTTTATAGTTTATACTAGTCTTATATATTTTGTGGTTGCATATGTGGTTGTTCTCAGTGCCGTTGAAGTTATTTCTTTATGGCTTCATCGTTTCTTACTCTACACTCATTGTCGCCAATCGAGAGAAGTGGACCTTAAGTTTATTTGTGGATACTCTCATTTCTCATGCTCTCAGGTTGTATTGAGTAGTGCACATTTGTCTGAGTAGTAAATCCTTCTATTGCCATGATATTCCTTAGGGTAGAAGAATGGCTAAGTCTACCAAACCAAGATTTTCTTATCTTGTTCTCTTGGTAATTACAACTTTTTAGGCAACAGTCAGTAGCATCAAAGAGAGTGGAAAGCACATGAACAAGGGGGCAGTAAAATGTCCAGCCAAAGGTAACACCAAGAATGCTGACAGTTTGGAGCACCACTGAGTCACCACTTACAGAAAACCATAACAGCAACACTTGATCCCATATCCTACATACCTTCTTTTTACATGATAATACAAGCATTAGTGTTTTCATCACTGAAAAGATGGGTACCATAATAACCATTATCAACTTGGTTACTGAGATAGTAAGGGCTTGGGTAGCAGTTGTAGTAACCAGCGTAGGGGGAGATCTGAGGGGTCCTGAGCTGCATCATCTGAGGCTGCATGTATCTGCTTTCATGCACCACCATGTTGTGCCCTCTCAAATTGTTCACCATGGATGATGATGGATGGGTCTGGTAGCCCTGCATGTTCACCGTCACTGGAGACTGGTATTGACCCCCACATTGTGGTGGGTGTCCTGTGTAGCCTTTGAAAGCATTTCCTGGCAAGCATCCATTGGTTCCACCAAGCCCAGGGGGGCCAAGACCCATCACCCCATTGTTGCCCTGAACTTTAGGATTGCCATTGACCACCCTGTTGTTAGCTGCAGCATTGGTGCCTTTTTGTTGTGACTCATTTGGACTTTTGATGTGGTTTTCGTTAGCATTTTCTCCCCCCTTCCTGTTGCATCCAATTTTGGCATTTGCACCAACTTTTCCATTGCCATTCCCACTTTGCTTTGCGTCGGTTGGGGCGTTGTTTGCCTGCCTCATGAAATTAGTTTGCTTCATCTTACTATCAAGATTTTGCATATCAGCATCATCTTCTTCTTCGTCATAATCTACATCCTCATCGTCATCGTCATCATCATCATCAAAGTCTTCCTCATCAGAGCTGGATGGGGAAAGCTTGTTGTGCTGGTTTTTGAAGGCTTTGAGGCCTCGCATGAGGCCTTGTTTGTCTTGTTCTTTATTGTTTTTGTTGGCATCCTTCATGGGGTTGGCTACTTTCTTCTGCTGCTGCTTTTGCTGGTTGAGCTGCTGAGTCTGGTTGATCTTTTGAGTCCATAGCTCTGCATGCTTACGTGCTTTGATCAGCTTCCTGATCAGAGTTTCAGAGTCCACATTTCCTGAAACTGTGACCTTCTGCTGTTCTACATCTATGCTTACTGAGAAGACTCCTGAATCAGATGCAAACACAGTTAAATGATGAACATTATTACTCAATAGACATCAAGTTTCTAGCCACACTTTGTATCTGCTGTCTTTCTTACAATGTGCTTGTGGCCACAAGATAAATCATGGACATCCACAAGGAACAAAAGAGAACATGCATTGTGCTTCTAGTTTCATACTGTAACCTTGAAAACTCTGCATGTAGACCAGAGATGTAGCAGAAACACAAACTAAAGCCTTCCATCAGAGAGACTTCATGAGCATCTTTTTTTCCTTTTATCCTGCATCTGATTCTTGGACTGGAGTTGTGGAAATCAACCCCCAAATATTCGCATTTAAGGGTACTATAATCAAGTAGCAGAAGAACTTGCATGAAACAAGTGGAACTTGGCATTCCAGTAAAAGATCATCTCAAGCAAAACTTTTAGCAAAGATGGATAACTGTGGCAGAGTTATAAAAGTCTTTTCGAAACAGCATTATCTTCAGAAAACAGAACATGATGAAAATATGTTCTGGAGAGGGAAAATAAGACAGAGCTAAAGATCCTGGAATTAAGTACCTTCAGTTCTATGGAGGAGTTTCTTTACTTTAAGCTTGCATCCATCACAATGTATGTTCACCTTCAGGATGTGGGTCTGCAAGAACCAAACAAACAGTCTCCTGCACTTAATCTTCTAACTAAATACAAAGAAAAGAAAGGAAGAGAAATACCTGGATTTTTAGGAGCTCGAAGTCTTCACCCTTACCCATTTCCACTGCTGATTCCTCCTGCTGTCTGAGAGATCAAAAATGAATCAGGAACCAAAGTTTTCTCTAAGAAGCTAAGCCTCTACTAAGACAGCCCTGGGAAGCCTTTGCATGCAAGACTACCCTGCAGCATGGGAAGCTGCTTCACCGTTCTCCTTCTTTCCCTCTATATATTTCAGGAAGGAACCTCCCACAGGAGACTCCTTTTGTCCTACTTTTTTTCTTTTATCCTTTTGTCCTACTTGCACTATGATACATACACATATTCACCTACTCTCCCTTTTCTTTTTCTTTTTGCCTTTTTACTTATTTCTTACCTCGATAGACTACAATAGTATCTTCTTTTTTAACTGTCTTAGGAGGCCATTATTCAGGGAGAGAGTGTTGTGAGTAGATATGGCTTGTGGAAGATTAAATATACAGTTGAGCAGAGGAGCTAACCAACTGCGACCTGATCTGACCTGACCTCTGCACTGTTTAGTGTAGTAGGCATAGCCTGTACAGGATCGTCCCTTGGCCTCGTCCCTGACATACAAAGCCACACAAGCTTGCATTCCATACCCATTTTGATCCTTCTTTTTCTTTCTCTTTCATCAACTTCGTTCCTGAGATCAAAAGATGTGGAGAAAGTTGGGCAAGATAATGCCTTTCTTGCCCCCAAACGTTTTACTATGCTCAAACTGTTCTTTGGGGCAAATAAGCATAATCGCCACATCATAGGCTTGGTCGGATTAATGTAATAACACAACTCAGCCTAATAAAGCTTGTAATTTTATCATGGTACTTGAAATAAAAGCACAGGACAATGAAATCCATATTTGAGAGCTTTAGGTTTCCTTTTGCAATGAGATAAAAAGCTTATCAGGAAGATTGACACCTCAATCCTATAATCTCAAAACTAATCATGGATGGCTCCAGTGGAAAGATTAATTTTGTTGAACATGATACATGGACCAAATGTGCATATATTTATGTGTATGGATAGATATTTCTTTACTATGTTATAACTTGTCCTTTTGTGGTCTGTTTTTCTCTTCCAAATTTTACTCCTTCCATTCAAGGAGTACATGACATGCATACGTATGGGCCTCTTAAATCTTTTGACTGTGGACATTGCACCTTAACCATTAAATACCTCCTCAGAGATTCCTTGTAGCATGTTGGTTTAACAAGAGCTGCTGGTTTTCTCTTATTTCTATCGTGGTCAGTTTTTCCTTGGGCTGGCTTTGGGTATAGATCTCTTCTGTAGGTGGTGAGCAAACATAAAAGATGAAGACTCTTCCTGCAATCAGCATGTTTGTCATGTGTTACTGTTGGTCTTCCCAAATGCTTGGCAACGCACTCGGATTAAACTTTGACCTTCACAAGAAACTTCTCATTTTTCATCATATGTGGCATATCTAATGTTAAGGTATATGCTAAATGGCCCACTAACAAGCATCTACCATGATCCTTAGAGTGGATGCATGGTATTTCTTTGCATGGAAGGATTACATTACTTGACTGCTATTTTTTACACTAGTTAAACAGACAAATCAAAGATTCAAAATGTTAAACATGATGTGCTTTGCTAATTCTTTGACACAATCATGTTTTCTTGGTTGTCCATGGCATTGATATTATGTTAGATGTTCTATAGGCCGTTTGAAGTCTAAACCATTGTTCTGGTCACATTTAAAGTTGGAACTAGTCTTTTCGCTTCTAGTGCCACTTAACCAGTAATGTGCATTTAATTTGTAAGTAAACAAACTTTTGCGTCAAATGACCTGGTATAATTGAGGCCCTAATCCCGTTGTTGAGATTGGCAACCTCTTTTTATCATGTTTCATTGTCTTTGTAGATGCTAGCTTTGCCCATAGCATGTATTATATTGTTAAGATTTTTATCTTTAGCTCAAATTTCTTCAATAAAAATCTGGCTTTTTTTTTTGTTATTATTACTTTTGCCAAAGATTTGAAGGTGCCTAGTTATTTCTATGCTGATTCCGATCCCGGAAACAACTTTTAAAACATGCTGGAGGGCTCTTCCGCATTTTTGTTCCTTTAGGTCAACTAGCTGAACCTGTGTATAGCCATCCTTGGCTTATTCCAAACATATATTACCTAACTTTTGCTTTATTAATTATATTGTTCAGTTTGATGGAGAGTTAAAAGATTCACTCATCCAACATTCTTGTTTTTATCTTCTTTGCTTCTTGTATATGCTGATTGTCTATATCTAATATATATCATATATTTCCTATTTGAGCTAATTCTGGGCTGAGCTTCATTATCTATATCTACAGGCACTTCACCTTCATTTTCCTTGAGTTGTATCATCCTTCAAGTTGTTCAGTTGGAAAGAAAAAAAAAGCTTTATCCTTTTTCATGGGCAATTCTTAGTTTTAGCTGGTTCATGCCTTTTTATGGTTTTCAAGTTCCAGTAAAGAATGATAAATACTGTTAATTGCATCTCTGCTTCTTGTTCTATCTTAATCTTCATAATTTCCATTTTATTCTTGACTTGTCTTTGGCATCACCCACTTTTCTGCTGATTTCAATATTTGGGTACATACATGCTGACTTGCATGTAAGTGTAGATCCTCAATAGAAATGAATCGTGAACTATAGTGTATATTTCTTCTGAATGGAACAATGTAGAACCTTTTCGTGTATAATCAATCTTTCAGGTTCACGAGTGGTCCGCTGCTCATGGCATTTACCTTCGTTCTTTGTTGAATTCATACGGTGCTTAACAGGTAAGAATCCATTTTGTACCCTTTTTCTTTTGTCCAATATATCTATCTGTAACTTTTTCTTAAACTCAGCCCTCAAATTTTGGTCATTTTCTTTGGTATTTGAAGGACGACCACAAATGCCTTATAATGGATGAATAACTACACTATTTTCCTGAGGAGACAATTCTTGGCAATGTTCTTTCATGTGTCGATGAGCGGATGACGAATCACACACCGTGTCGAAGCAAAGAAATAATCTTCCATCTTGTGAATGCAGCCAGCATGGAAATATCTTCCGTTGCAAATTTAGATGCCGTGCCGCCATCTTACTTGAACAACCAGTATGCTCCGCAGTTCCTTATCTGAGGAAGTGTGATATGCTAATGCATCGGCGGTACGTACAAGATTCTACTTTTAGAATGTCCCTTAGATGTGTTTTACGTTGAATTCTTATCTATTACCTTGATCGAAAATTAAAATAAGATAGTTGACCAGCCCTGTTTTGAGAATTAAAGTCCTTTTTTTATCTTTCAACTTAAAACTAGGATTTGGTGGCCAGCATGTGCTATTCTATGCTCTTGATTCTGTGTGGCGAGCATGGTACCTGTTCTATGTAAGTTTGCAAATCAGAATTCTCTGTTGTTTACAACATATGAGATGTTAAAATGGCAGCCATTGGATTTCTTCATGAAAATTCTACTCCATGCAGGCAGGCGCATTGGTTTATCATTATTTGATTTTAGTTTCTAGTATTAAAATTTTTCGTATAATAATGCAATTATAACTTTTTTGTGTTTATAATTTTACTTAAAAACCATGCAAACTCTTTTGCTTGCGTTTGTTTTCAGGTGTATTCAAGTGCCACCAAAAATCCCAGAGACGTCGACCAAATATGTCCGACAGCCGATCTCTTGGAAGATTTCTTTGGTGCAGAACCTGATATAAGATGACACCCCAAGTTAGCAGACGCATGTGGAACTCAGAACGCACTCGAATTCTGCTTGCTATCGAACCTTTGCTTCCCGCTTACGGTGTCGTGAGATGGAGATCGAAAGCAGTTTCCCAATGGCGTGGATCTCCATTTCCATCATATCGTGAGAGATTTCATCCTTGAGGTCTAAGAAAGATGGGAATCGGGTCGAAAACAGTTGATGACGCTGATGGAATCATTGTGTTCGGCAACTTAATTCATATTGCGGTCAATTCCTTGGGAAGCTAAGTTGACAATCTTGACATGATGGGTTGGGTGTGGATCCAAATCTCGACTCCGTCGTTCTCCCACCGGCACACGCTGACCCACACCCAGTTGAAGGAGCTCATCGAGTGGTCCGGGTAGATGAACTACCAGTGATTCATTTTCTCTTCCACCTAATCCCTCTGAAACCGAAGACCACTGATTCGCAACCATCATTCCAAGGCTTTCTCTCTCTCTCTCTCTCTCTCTCTCTCTCTCTCTCTCTCTCTC